TTTTTTTTTTTTTTTTTTTTTTTTTTTTTTTTTTTTTTTTTTTTTTTTTTTTTTTTTTTTTTTTTTTACAATTACTCATTGCGAACGTTGTTCCAAGAGCTGCAGATCCCACTGACGAGCTTTAAAATAATTTCTTCCGTGGTTTCAAAGTCTTTGTTTTTATCCTATGATCCTCACCAAGACAGATTTCCACTGCCAGCAGGGAGATTTCAACCTCCTTAAGGCTTGCAGAAGGGCCTCTCGCTCTGCAATCCCGCTGCCGAGTGTCCCCAACGTGCTCCGTCATGCCCTGCAAGCAGCTCTGGGTGCGGAGCTCCCAGGAGATTGACACCTCCGAAATGCCTGAGTGCATTGCTCGAATGACTCCGGCGGCGCAGCTACCAGCTACCAAGAAGTGAGATACATGAGTGCCCAAATCTATATCGGGTGTATGTGCAAGGTGTGTGGTCTCTCAGATATTTGGGATGCAAAATGCCGCTAGCTGCCATGCAAGTATTCATGTCGATAAAATAAGAAAGGTATTTTTTTGTTAATCCTTCGCAAGTGCGCGGTCATGTGCTAATTGGTTGGAGGAAGCAAGATGTAAGATGTTGGGGTTTATTGTCAGTAACCCTACTTGGGAAATCAAGTTAATACCTAAAAAGACCCAAATTCAGACGACGTGCTCAAATGTTCTTTGCTTACAAGTGCCTTTCCCCAGGGAAGCGACGGATTTCCCTGGCATGGTTTGAAAATGGTCACTGCTGTGAGGAGTGAATGAAACTAAACCAACCAAGCAGGCTGTGCTGTCTCCTGTTACTGGTGGGGAAGTGAAACGAGCCTCACCCAAAGTTTTGACAGTATCTCCCATGAACTGTGAAAACTCTGTTACTAGAAATTGATACGTAATGCCTGCACTTGCAGTAAAACCAATAAAATCAAATTCCTCCTTGGTACTTTGTTTCTTTATTATTGTACATGTGTGACAAAGCTGTTTAGGTTTAAGATAAATTTAAGATAAATAATATTTAGTTACTGGGAGATCTTTGGTTTAGAATATTGGTGTTTATTTACATACTCTGAGGAAGAAAATCCCCACCAACCAATTTAGCTCGGAGAGCTGCGCTGTCCAGCTGTGGCATAGAGCGGCGCAGCCGTGGTGGTTTGAGGATCCCTGAGCGGTGAAGAGGCGAAAAAAAGAGGAGGGCGGCTTTGAAACGCTCGTAGTTTCTAGGGCAGCGCTTGTTCAGCCAGTCTCTTGTTAACTTCTGGGGCATCCCACAGACCTGCGAGTGCCTTTTGGGAGCGTTGCTGTGCAACACTAATAATAATAAAATAAAAATAGTGAATAAACGGCTTCCGCTTTCTTTTCCAGCGAGTGCTGACTTCAGAGACAGTCTCACAAGTGAAGTCCTGGCTCTGCTGATGCCATGAAGAGGTCTGCCATCGTGCCGCTCACGCCACGGGTTCCCTTGGGGCTCCCAGGCGGTGCCTTTGCCTCCGGCCCCGCTTGGTTTTGTTCGGCTGCTGCTGGGCGCTCCCTGCGTGGGTCGGTACCCGCACTGCTCGCCTCGGGAAGCAGTGGCACTCTCCCGGGCTTTGCTTCACCCTGCAGGCACCAGGGGTTTCTTTCATTATAAAAGCACCTTTTATTCTGGCTTGGGTTTTTTTTTGGACAGGATTCCCAGCGTTTCTGAAACGCATCCCGAATCTGCGATGAACATTGAACTCCACCTCCTGCCCTGTCTCAGCAGCATCCCCAACTCGATGCTTTCTGCAGAGCCGGGCAGGGGAGCCCCGTGATGCTGAGGAGCCCTGACCCCCCTTCATACAGCTCCCTAAATCCACAGCAGCCAGCTCGCACCCACTCTGTGCTCCTGTATCTCCCCAGCTCTTCTCCACCTGCACGCGTGCTGCTGGTGCGGTGAGTGCAGGATGCTGAGGGCCGTGGGGAGGGGATGCACAGTCTCCCTGAGCGAGCTGGAACTTCACAGGAAATTTATACAGCAAGGATTTAATGACAGGCGCTGGATTTGGGCCAGGAACCTCAGCCTAAGGCGCCTTCTCTTGTGAAGAGCGTTGTCAGCTCCGCTCTGAACAAAAGTAGCCAGAGAGCAGGGTTTGGGTCTTCTCCAGGTGATGGCATCGCTGGAGCTGTGCTGCTCCGTGATGTTATGGATCAAGCAGCTGCCCAAAATACAGCTTCCTCGGCTGTGCCGGCTTCTCCTCGGGGTCGGTTTGGTGCCTGCTCCCCGTGCACCTGCGAGGTCATACCCCAGTGCGGGATGGTGCTGCTCTGGCAAACTAATCACTTTTCCCTGTTCGCTGTGAGGTTCGGCTCATGGCTAGCAGCCACCAGCTTAAATATTCCCCTGGAGTGTTTGGGGTTTTTTTGCTTTAATGCTGATTGTGGCTTGAAGTATTTGGATAATCCATCACGGAACGGCCTTCTCCTTGCAGGTAACTTCCCTGTGTCGAGACTGATTTAGCTCGGTGTGTCCCATCGACTAGCCCAGTCCACGGCATGTGGGAAACGCCGTCCCTGGGAGACCCTCCGATGGTGCTCCGTGGCCACAGGAAATTAAAAAGCAAAAACTTGAGGCGGAGAGAGCAGAGTAGGAAAGATGCCTGCAGCATGCTACGTGGTTGGGATCGTGGCTCCAGTCCTGCGAGGCTGGAGATCACACCTTCACAGGACCGTCTCTGAAACAGGGCCAGTGAATAATCCTTTCCTTTCCCCAAAATGGGAGCTCAGGTCCAATAAACTGCAAAAATCATATTGAAAGGGGTGGCATCGGCATCGGATGTGCTCTGGGGTTCTGGGGATGGGGTCTCACAGGCAGCTCTGCAGGAACGTGTTAGAAAACAAATGTCTCTGTCTTGGTCTGGGAGTTATGGCTCCATCCGACCGCGCCGGGATTCCTCCTGCCCTTCCTCCTCCTCCCAGCTGCCCAGACTGGTGGCTGAGGCGTGGTGGTGGAGTGGCTGAAGAAGAGCAGACCCCAGAAGGCTAATGAGGATGTGTCCTCACCCAGCCGCTTCTTGAGGCTGGAAGGACAGACTGATGTGGTTACTTTTCAGATGCTTCCCCGTTGTCTGTGACACATCCCTGGCTCCAGGATGGGGCTGGAGGGATCACAACATCCCCTGGGACGTGTCCGGGCTGCTGTGGCAGTGGCTGGATTGGCCCCACCTGGAGCCCTGGGGGTTCAGCAGAGCGAAACCACAAAGCAGATCCCGTTGGACTGGAGTTTTCTGTTGGTTTATGTCCCCCAGATGTCTTGGCCCTGGGTCAGGGATGTTTGCAGCATCCCCGGTTTTCGGTGACGAGCACAGTTTCTGGGTTTGCCCAGATCCCTGCTCCAGCACTGCCTTCATGCTCAGCCTTGCAGCCTGCCAGGTCCTCAGCCCCGCTCTGCCTTTTCCTCATCCGCCGGTGCTTTTCAATCATGCAAAACACAGTTCTGAAAGCTTCGAGCTTTCTGCAGCTTCTGATAGATGTGTGCATCTCCTCTGGCCTTTTCAGCCTCAGGTTAATGAAGGGATTGCCAATTAACTGAAGCTAATGAGTTCTTCTGCATGAGCTAGTTTCAGTTTTTTACAGTTGTTTGCTCCAAGAAACAAATATTTGTGGCTTACCCAAAAGCTGCACCTCGGGATTAGCCAAACATGTGTGTGTCCTGGAACAAGTGCTTGCAGAGCGTCCAGACTAGCAAGCACAGGGATGCTGACTAATTGAAATAAATTGGCAATTGCTAATACTCTTTCTCTTAAAGAACCAAGGCAAAAAGCAAACATGGATGTGAGTTATCCCGCTGACATCAAAGGCCGTGTTTACATAAGCACTGCTCGCGCTGAAGATCTGTTGCAGAGTTGGACCCTTTGGTGAGGAACTGACAACTCGTTTGCAAACAAACTTTGGAAAGAGTCCAGGCACGGCTGCCAACGGTCCTCTGGTTAGAGCCAGGCCAGCCCACGTGGGCTGCGGGGATGCTGGAGCCCCGGGAAGGGTCCCCAGAAAGAGCAGAGGTCCGTGCTTGGGCTCCTGCACCGTTTCCAGACCATTGGTGGGTGCATGAAGAAGGATTACCCCCCCTGAAGCTCAAATGCACACTTCATTGTAGGAGCGCTCATCATTTTTTTGCTGTTAGACGCTAGTACCAGGGTGACACGATGGTGCGATGCTCCTCTGCAGGGCCGGCAGCGTTTCACCGCCTGCTCCTCCCGCCTCGGCACGGAGACGGGCCGTTCCCCTCGGATGCTGGGAGGGATGGGGCCCAGCGCCCATGCAGCATCATCCCGGCTTACCTCCTCCCCCAGGTAGGAATGGGTGTATGCCTAAACTGCTCAGCAACGCAAACCCAGTAAATTAAGAATAATCAGCGTCTGCTTGTTATACTGCTAAAGCAGAGATTTTGTTTATCCGGGACTTGGTCTGGGCACTTGCCTGTGTGGTTTCTTTAACTGGAAGTGACCTTAGAAAGTGGGGATGTCAAACAGCAAGTTCCACCCTCCCGCCCATGCCGAGGGTCGCTTGGGGAAGCTAAGGAGCACCCGGCTATTTCATGGAGCGATCAGGGAAGCGGCACGTGGAGCATCCACACCCTTCCCAGAATAGACGAGTCACCTCCAATTTTCTTACTAGATCCTTCCAGTGTCTGTTGGAGGCCGTTGCAAGCCGTGCTCCCTTCTGCTGGCTCAGGTACACACGGAGCAAAGCCCTTTTGGTGCGGAGCTACCCCCCAGGTGATGTGTATGCTGCGGGACCTGCTGGTTCGGGTCCAGTTCAGCCTGGGTGAAGGGAGGACTCAGACAGGAGCAGGATCTCCAGCCGGGTCCAGCTGCTGGGCTGGGTCATGGGAAAACCAACAAAAAAAGACATCGAACTGCAAGAGCTCCCTCCAGCTCTGCCATTGTTTCTTACAGGAGAGAGGACACCAAGTTTTGTGCCTCCCTGTGCAGGCTGCTGGGCAGCAACAAGTTCATGACGCTCATGATCTGCATCACCTCCATCGCCGCCATCTCCCTGGCTGTGGAGACCAACTACCGCTGCCGGTTACGCTGGGGTACCTTTTTTGAGGTGAGGCTTGGGGGCACTCTCCCACGTGCCATGGCCAGGAGGAGAGGGATGGAGGGCATGGGGGTCCGGCCCCTGCAGCCACTCGGGGTGGCTGCCAGTCCACCGTCCTCCCCCATGCCATTGCCTGCACCAGCCCAGGGCCTGGCTGTATTTCAGCTTCAGATCGCTTCACTTATTCGATAATTATGGTTCTTAAAATGCAATTGTTCCGTCCTTTCCATGGCAGCCCTTTTCCCCTTCATGGTTTTAGCACAGCTAGTTTTAAGCACCCTTTTAATACTCAATTTTCACATTGAAAAATCCCTCTTGGTCACACTCCTTGATTTCCTTGTCTTACACAAGCCAGCTACTGTACGCAAACCTCTGAGCCTTAATTATATATCCCAGTAATATATAGCCAGGCCTGGCTAATGTCAAGAAACCCAGTCATGAGCGTCGGAGGTTTCCAAGAGCTCTGGCTGCAGGACCAGGCTCCGTGCGGGGAAGCGAGCGGAGCGTGCCTGGCTCCGAGGGGCCGATGGGGTGCATGGTGCATTGGGATGCAGCCAGGACCCTCCCATGCTGGGCAGTGACCCGTGATGACGACTGCGGCGGGGTGAGCTCGGCTCGCGTTTGGAATGGTCCCCATGGGCAGAGGGACGCTGTTGGGGACATTTAATATGAAAGTGCTGGCTTGGTGCGCGGGGTCTGGCAGCCACAGGCAGCTGCCCGGGCTCACCTCCTCCTCTCTCCAGGTCACAGATGCTTTCTTCATCACTGTTTACACCACCGAGCTTTTGCTGAAGCTGTACGCGGATCCCACTGCCTACTGGAAGAGCAGCTACGACATCTTGGACGCCGCCATCCTCCTCATTGCCTTCCTCCCGCATGTCTTGCCCGTGGACACCGCCACGCGCACCCACCTGGAGGGGACGACCAAAGGTCTCCAGACCCTCCGCATACCCAAGCTCATCAAGTACAGCCGCGGGATGAGGGTAAAGCGCTGCTCACTAGTTAAGTCACAGCAGAGAGGGGGGATCCCAAGCCCAGGAGCCCGGGGAGGCTTTGCTGTACCCAGGTGCTGGGGGCCACCCGGCCTGAGAGGGGCCGATGCTTGCGGTAGCTCATGAGCAAAGGCGAAAACTAATAATTCCTGATTTTTTTTAAGAAGCCCATGGCTTGGCCATTGGTTTTTTTCCCCTGTTTCTCCTTCCCCCAAGGAGAGGAGAGATTTTCTTTTTTACTACAGCAGAGTAGACCCAAAAAATCCCCCTATAAAACATAGGTCACGTCCTATTCTCGGTCTGTGTGTATTTTTCTCTCCAGCACACCATCTCCTACTTAGTTTTCTCCTGATGACTCTGGAGGTTTGTTTTTCAGCAAGGAGCTTATGTGGGCAATGAATGCTCAGCCAGCATTTCTGTGTGTAATTAATTGGCTGGGTAGCCCACCAGAAGTGGGATGTTTATGGGCACAGGGCTCTTATAACGTTCACTTCTGAGCCTTCATTCCTCTAGTTTGGATCGTAAACTTCACTTATCACCAGACTTTTATAAGTTAATTATTCTGTGTCACTGGGAGAAGCGAGGACACGTAGAAGCGCATGAAATAATGAATGGTTTAGGCATGGGCGATCAGATGCTCCAGTTTGGTCTGGCTGATTATAAGAGACCAAATTGCTGCATGGTGAAATGGGGAGACATTTAAATCGGGGTAAGTGTGTGTTTGTTGGTTTGAGCCTCACGCTATGCACTTGTGGAACTCACTGCCAGGAGATGCCTCGTCTGGGGACCACGAGGAAGAAAACCTGTAGGATAAGGTTTGGCACCATTCCCCCCTGAGACGCTTAAAATGTTGAGGTGCTTTGGAAAAAATCCCACTCGGCACAAATCTGCAAGTTTAAGAGCCTAAATGCCTTTGAAAATCTGGGCCATGCAACACCAGGTTTTGATGGAAGTCGGTGGGACTTAACACCTAAGGGACTGGGGCCACTGGGAAATTGCGTCCTGGCTTTGGGTGAGAATGCCTAGAATGGCATTACTGGGGGAAAAAAATACCGAAGAGGAAAATTCTTTAAGCTCTCACAGTCCCTTCCTGTTCCAGGGATGCTATAAATACCCTGCAAAGCCCTGCCGTGCCGCTGCTTTCCAGCTCCAGGTGCATTTGGTACTTGCCTTTGCGTCTGACCTGAAGGGACAAGTGCCCTGAGCCTCTTGGCATCCCAAGAGACAACACCTACTTGCTTAAAATTTGTTTTAAAATGTGATAGGGCTGTCTAAATGCATTTTGCTGAAGGTGCAGGAGGCTGTTCATGCCTCTGTGTGTACTGTAATTTATTAATTGAAGCCTAAATTAGCCCTCAACAGGTTAGCAGTATTTAATGCAGAGAGCTCAAACATGGAACACATTCTTGGCACGTTTCCCTTTATTAATTAAAAACCTCTTTAAAACACTCTGCCTTCCACCTTGGAGCAATAAATTTCCACCTTGAGGAAATAATTTCCTTGTTGTATTCCATACAGAGACGTTCTGTTAGCTGCAATCCCTGTTTTAGTGTAGGCCCCATTCATCCTTATTTCAATTTCAAAATAAACTTTAAAAATGCCAGGTTGTTCTGTAAAACAAAAACAAAACAAAAAAAAAGAAAAAAAATCGACTTTTCTGCTTTTTTAAAAATATATTTGGGATTAATTCCGATGTAGTTTACTACCTGTGCAGACTGTGAACCACAAAGCTCCTTCTTAATAAAAGCTCACAGGACTCCACAGCGGTTCCTGAAGCAGCCGGGGAAGCCTTGGCAATCGAAAATGAGGTGATGGTCCTGCACGGGAGGCACTCGCCAGCCTGCAGTCGCTGGGAGCGTTTTATGGCCCTCCTGCCGCCCCCAGCTCTGGGTGGCTGGTTTTTGTTATGACCACGTGCCACAGCCCAAACCTGCCCAATGCCATGACATAATTTGGCAAAAATGTCACCTGATTTTTGGGGTTGAATGGCTTTTGTTCCCCTGCTAGTCCTGGGCTGCGCCTGCCGGAGAGACCTACATGTGCAGGGAGGCAGGAAAACCCTCCGCCGGTTCCTCCAGGAATTTGTGCCAAACTCGGTGGGTTTAGGTCTGGTCTAGTTTGGGCTTTCTGAGGTGGTTCTGCAGACAACGCAGTTGCCGGTGTTGTCTCTGCGTTGGATGCTGCCCTCCCCTGCTGCCCCATGCGTAGTGTGGTGGGACCATTATCTGGAGCAGGCAAGACTTGCAAAAGTAGGGAACTGCTGCAGGAGTCCTTAACCCATCTGAACAAGCTCGGGATGTTGGCAGCCGGGGGAGACTGGGAAGAGCCCCTTGTTCTAGCTCTGCACAAACATCCCCTCCAGGCGGTATCATCCGAGCAGCTCAGCCGGATGCGATTCAGAGCTTTAACCTGAGATGCTGTTGACAGTCAGAGGTGATGGATGGACAGTCTTTGAATGGGTCAGCTGTGTAAGACCCCCCACCTGGAACTAGCAGGCACAGTGTTACCGGGGGAGCAGCCAGCCCGTGCTGCCGCTGCTCTGCAGGGTAACGTAACATGGATGCAAGAGACTGCATGTAGTTGTCTGTGATTTGGAGTTAACGGGAAAGTTTGCATTTGCCTAAAAGTCCTTACCAACAATAAGCTTGGTTCACCAAACCAGCACTCCCATCAACTCCCAGGAGTGTCTTTCATATATGTTGGTGTCATATGTGGGTCTTTATAAGACGTGAGATGGTCTCAGAAGCAGTATCATGTCCCTTCCCGGTGACCCCAGGCTTTGCACGGGGCTTTCCCAAGCTGAGCAGGCACAGGGGGATGAGAGATGACTGCGGACTCCTGTCTCCCATCCTGGCCCATCCTGCACGGCAGGGGAGGAGCAGCAGGACAGTGAGGGCAGCAGAGATACCGATCTACCTCCAGTTTGTGCTCAGACCCCAAGGCACGAGGGTTAATAGCACTGCTCATTTTTATTCTGCTAATTTATTAATGCAGAAGCTTGGGACAGCCGTATCCTTTATCAACAGGAATCCGTTACTCCGTTAGTAACCTGTCCGTATTTCAAAAGGCAGTGAGAAGCCCCGATGTGATGCTTCTGGGACCAAGCAGCCCTTGGTCTTGCCACTGTGCAGCACTTACTCACCACTGAGCCCTACAGGGGCCATTTCCCAGTCCAAGAGGCTGATGCACGGCCACAGACTCTAGATTTTGTCATGCTCCCATGGTCATTGCCCCTTCCCTCTCCTTAATTCCCAGTACAGTCCTGTGGATGCACGCAAGGGAGCTGGTTCAGAGGTGGTCGAGGGAGGCTGTCACCTCCCGCATCCCCAGCCCTGCTTTTCCCAGCCTTCATCCCCGCCAAGCATCTCCCTCACCTACGGAGCGCGCATTTGTTTTTCCTTTTGCAGGTTTTCACAGAGACCCTTGGCCAGGCGGTGCAGACAGTGATGTATGCCCTCATCCTGCTGTTCCTGCTGATGTTTTGTGTTTGCCATTTAGGGACATGGATGGTACCGAGATCCCAAAACCGGAGACATTGAAAACTGGGGCAGCTTGAAGGCCGCCCTCTTCACGCTCTTCAGTTTAGTAACCGTAAGTACAGCAGCATTTTCCAGTCTGTCTCAGCCAAATGACAAACTGCTGCTGAAGAAGCCCTTTGATTAACCTGTGACTTCATTAGGGAGAGCATGAACTGCTCAGCAGTGAACTCATATTCCAGATCCCTGGGAAAATTTGCCTTGATAGACAAGCTTCCCTACCCAGTATTGCAAATTCAGAGGGGGAAACCTCTGAAGCTGACAGCAGAGAGATCTGTACTAGCTGATTTAAAGCCGGACCTCTGAGGAACAGAGCAACTGTGCTCAGTTTTAAAAAAGAAAGAAAAAGAAGAGGAAGATTTCATATGGCTTGTGAGTTATGCTGTGGTTTGGAACTCACTCTCTGGTCTGCTTAAATACATTTGCAGGTTGATGGTTGGACAGACTTACAGCGCGAGATGGATCTTTATGGGTTTACAAGCAGCCACGTGTTCATAGTCGTGTTCATCTTGCTGGGCAACTTCATCTTCTTCAACACGTTGATTGCACTTGTGATTACCAGGTCACGCGAGCTCTGTGCATTGAGTGTGCATGCGCGTGTGAGCGTGTGTGAGTGTGCGTCCTACCAGCTAACAGGCTCCGGTTGGAAAGCTGGTGCTTGGCTGCTTGCAGAAGTTGGCTTCTGGTGCAGCTAGAAACATTCTGGATACAGAATTCCCCAGTCCCTGAGCAGAATAAGTGTATCTTTCCCCACAGTCCCCTTTTTGGGTCATCTCTGCGCTCCTGCTTTGACTATTTTTCCATAGCTGCCGAAAGCTCCTGTTCCTCCAGCACAGCCAGCCCCCAGGTCCCCTGCGTGCACACTCTGCACCGAGGTCCTCTCAGCCACGACCTGTTTCTGCCTCTGTTTAACCCAGGGCTGCTCTCGTGGTCTTGTAGCTGCCTCTGGTCCTTCTGCAACAAATTCCGATGTGGAGCCAGGGCCAGGGTCAGCTGGGTGTGCTGGGGGAATATGGCAAATCCTATGCTAGAGGCATCTGCTCCCCAGCAGCTATCGGCTGCCAGCCCTGAGGTTGTCCCGCTTAACACCTCTTGCTGCTGCACAGGACCGGGGCTGGACCAGGGGTTTTTTGAAGCCCAAGTCTTCCTGACCGATCTCTTGACCCACCAGCTGCGAGGGGTGCTCGGGGACTCACTCGCATCCCTGCAGTTTGGCATTGGCAGGACTTGACTCAGAAGTACGAACAGGACTGCAAAGCAGCGAAGGCGGCTGCTGTTTGGGCCAAGAAACAGAAGATCCTGAAAAAGCAGGGGAAGAACGTGAGCAACGAAGTCACGCTCAGGCAGGTGGGCTGTGGTCAGCTGTGGGCGGACAGCACTGTCTGCAAATGTTGGATGTTGTTTAACAGGGCAAGACGTGGATGAACTGCTTTCAGTGGAGGAAAAATTTCCCTTTCTTTCCTTGCCCATTTTTATAATAATCCAAGCTGTAGATCCTATATGCCTTTTTGGTAGGCTCATCACATGTGCAGCTAAAAGTATTATGATGGCACATAGTGGTTAAAGTATTATAAAGGTGGAGAAAAACTCTTAATCGGTTTTGATGTGTTTTGTCTGAGTTTGTTTAACTTCAAAGAGAAGTTTAAAAAGAAATCCTTTAGGGTCATGTCGAGCCAAGAGCCCTGTCCAGAAATGGCTTGGACTCGGTTTCTGTGAGCACTCGAGGGAGGTCGCGCTCCTTCAGGCGCTCTCGCAGCCTGTTGATGCGACGTATCCAAAATGCTACTACGGGCTTGAAACACGTGCTGCAGCGTCTGTAGGAGAGCTGTGCACTGCTTGATAAAGGGCTTTTGCAAAGCTGACTTGAAATAAACGCAGTAAAGCTGTCACTGAAATGTAAATGATTAGAGCAACGTGACTCCCTGTTTCCATCAACTCTTCTGCTCATTCTTGCTTTTAGCAAATGTAATTTAAAAATAATCAGTTCAGGCTGGCTCGGTTGAGAGTGTTCTTGCCTTTGGGCCAGAAAATCACTGGTTCGACTACTAGACTGAGTGACCGATTTGGGTCAGTGGTTTGGGTCCCACCCCAAGGGCAGGGGTGGGGGTCCCTGCAGAGCTGCAGGACCTGCCTGACTGGGCGGGCACTGGGGAGACCCCGGGCTGCCTCCCTTGGGACAGGCATCCCCATCCCATCAGCGCCTGGGAGCTCCTGCACCGCCTGGCACGTCTGGCTGCTCCAAAAGTGCATTGGGATGGGGGTCACAGATAGCCCCGTTTCCAGCCCACAGCCGGTGCGAAGCCCACGTCGGGGTCTGCAGGGTGACAGTCCGAAGTGTCACCTCCTTCTTCCTAACAGGGTTTTCTTCCTGGGCTTGTTCTTTTTCATAGCACAAAATCACTCAAGGTGAAGATTTCAGTGAGCTGCTGGATGACATCAAAAAGACTTTGCACCACTCTGATATCATCATTATGGAAGGTTTTTGTTTCACCATCCCGTTTATTGATCTGTATTTGCCGTTCCTGGACCTCCAGGATGACACACTGAACAGGTTAGTAACGGTGGAGAAGGTGACTACAAGAGAGCCTCCAAGTTACAAAAACAGATGGCCTTTTGATGTACTGAATTATTTTCTTGGAACGAATGGACATTTTGAGGTTGCTCTCCCTAAGGAAAATGCTACTGGTCTCAGCATGAGCAGTGCTGAGAGTCTAGAAAGGTACCAACATATGCCACGTGCTAGAAATGGGGCTGGTTTCGTTCCCGTCAAGAGGGCTGATGCCATTTCCAAGCACCATGCAGTGTCAGCGTGGGACCAGTGTCCATCACAAATGTGCTCAATTTCCTGCTGGAAAATTCACCGTTCCTCACTGTTCCTCATTGCGCCCCAGCCCCGGCACGTCCTGGGGTTTGCAGAGCCCCGGGTGTCCCCTGGGTGCACAGCCCCTAGCGAGGCTCCATCCTCCTGGTCTGGCTGCCATGTTCCACCCCTCAGCATGCCTGGGAGAGAGGCGAGAGCGCATCCCAGATTTATGGGGGCAGTGGGGTTGGAGGACGTGTTTGCACCCACGTTTGGGAGGTGAGGAAGACTTGCCGCCTTCTTACAGCAGTAGCCCAGGCTGACCTGTGCTTTGCCTCAGCAATGGACTTCTCTGGATCTTGTCTGGGGAACAACTAACCCCAGGCAGTGAGTCTAAACCATGTAACCAGAAAAAACTCCCACAAATCCCCCAAATGGAGACTGCTGAGTCTTACATTTCTTAGGTTAACCTTAGTGTGATACAAGCCTATGATCACAGCTTGGTACCTATTGTTTAAAAAACCCACAGTCTGGCCCGGAGTCCAGAAAAAATGCCCCAGATATCAAAAATTCCCTTTTGCCCCATTCCCCAGGTGACTGCAGTTACTGTCAGGAGTCTCTGGATTATTTTCCCCCCGTACTTCGAATGCACTGAGCAGGACTAGTGCTTCTGAAAATGTTTTGCTGTGCACATGGCACATGATGCAGAGCCAGTCCTGGGTTGCACTTCTGCTGTTCTCCTCTGATCTTTTGGGAGAAAAATATTTACAAGGATGTTAAAGAAAATCTGCGGACCCAGGGGGCTCAACGTCATGCAAAATACTTGGGATTTTTCCATTGCTCCTGGCCCTGCCGGGTGAATGGAGGGGTGCTTGCAGAGGGTGCAGTTCTCCGTATGCCTTAGACATGGTGCTTCCCATTTTGTATGGTATTTGGGGATCTTTCTACCATGCTCTTCTCACACTGCAGGTTGCAACACCACTATTACGAACATACTGGCATATTGAGAGAGATTGTGGAAGTCATGAAAGAAAAATCATTGCCAGCTCATGAGAAGATGAAAAGTTAAAAGTTCTTCAGGGGGAGCATGATCCTTGGTGGCTGTCAGAGCTCTGCCTACAACCTCCTCTTCAAACCTTCATTAAAATAAGCCAGGAACATTTATGATTAAAAGTAATTCAGAAAATATCTGCGCTTCTTTCCACTCGCTGACCGGGTGGAAGCGCAGCCGCCGGTGCTGGCCCCATGCTGCAGGCAGCCGCTGATGGAGGGAGGCACGTCGCCGTTCAGAGCTGGAGAAACTGTGCCCTGGGAAAGGATCACAGCCCGGGTCCTTTTCCTGGAAACCTTGAGGCAAGGCTGGGACTAGAGCCCAAGGCCTCCAGTGCTCTCCCTGCCAGCTCTCTCTTTCTAAGATCAAGCAGCCTCGGCGTAGCGAAGGGGCTGCTCTGAGTCAGAGCAAACCAACCCACGCTAAGGAAATGGATCGTGATATCTCTGAACGAAGCAGCTCATTTCTGTGCTCTGATGCTGATTAGCATCTTGGAATAACCCGCTTGGGTTCATCTGGCAGTTTTAATGCAAACACACCCACACGGCTTTGGGTAATTGGAGAAGGAAAGAGGAGACCTGCGGAGCGGCAGCCGTTCCTCCGCACGGCACGGCGTGTACCGGTACAGAGCTACAGCCCCAAAGCCCGGGCACGATGACCGTGACGGCAGCAGTCGATCTGCCTGAGATGACGAGGAACGAGCCACCCTGACCCCCTCCCGGTCGTGTGGGCAATGGGGATTAGCAGAGCGGGGCTGCATGGCACGGCTCCGCTTTACCCCCGACACGGTCCCCCCTTAGCACGCTATGGCAGGAACCGAGACATGAGTCTTGGGGGATGATGAAAGGGAGGAAAGTGCCCAGGGGGTGCTGGGTTTGGGGGTTTGGCTCTCTCCGGGCTGGATTACATTACTGATGTGGGGAGAGGGGTGGGTGCCTGGTGTCGGGGATGCTGGGGGCTCATGGCTGCTCCTTGGCTCTTGCGGCAAGCGGGCAGACTCAAGCTTCTGATGACTTGGACATGAGGCTGCTGCAGGTTTTGCCTTTGATGGCGGTGCTGGTATAACGTCAAGTGTTGAGTTTTTCTCATTCTCGATGGTTTTTATATGACCATTCCTTGCGATTCTGCATAATCAATGGGAGTTCAGTATTACCAGGGGAACATCTAGAAAATATCCTTTTCACTACTATGCTATGGCTTCCAGCAGCAAAATAAACGAGAGCCAGACATGAACAGTATCTAAGACAAAATTATTGACACGTCCCTATGGAGAGGGGTGGGTTGATTTTGCAGAGCTCTCTACCGCTGCCGCGGCCCTGCCTGCCTCTCATTAAACCCACAGAATCATCTCTGTGGTGCTTTAAAATGCATTTTTGATACCAGCCCTGGGGCTGCCATTTGCAGTGGGTTTGTGCCCCAAAGCCTTCGCCCGAGCCAGCCAGCGTGAGGGGGCTGAGAGCTGCTAACAGGAGCTCCTCGTAAAAGGGCTAGGGAGAAACCAATGACACGAGCTCCTGCTCAATTTGTTTTTCATGTTCTCGTTTGTAATAATTTCGTGTTTTATGAGGGATACTTCCTAAAACTTCCCCAACATGATGGAAACACATGTGGTGCTAAAATACGTGATGTGACCCTTTTGGTGGAGAGACGAGATGAAAACCTGCTTTTCTCTGACAGCTACATGTGATACGGTCCAGTGAGCCGGACAAGCGGAGCGGCGTGGGGTATCTGACCTTTCCCCAGCCGTGCCCACACTGTTCACCCCTCCAGAAATACTGCCTGCGTATCTTTGCATGCACAATTTCCAGGTGGATTTTCTTGCTAATTCATTATTTAAACTTTTTCTCCTCCTTTTTTTGTTTTTCTAGGGGTAACCCAGCTCTGTGCCCGTGCGTGTCCATGTGTCACCCCCGGGTGACATGGAAAGCATCGCTTGGGGTATTATCCAAAGTGCAGGTTTGTTCCTGTGCCCATTTCAAGGACAGAGCCAAACCGGGGGAAGCAAATACCGATCCTAGAAATGGTTCCTGTGGGCTTCAAAGCTAATAATGCCAAGGTTAAAGGACCTTTGCTTATTTGAATTAGCCAATCGCTCTACGATGGACATGACTGAGGTATCAGCGTCACAGGCTGTATTTGGGCCACACTGCAGTAGGTGTCACGGAACTGGGACAATTCCTGCAGTATTTGAGTTTGGGTGAGTGATGAGGGTCACCTGGCCCGTCAGCCAGGACCGCTGGCATCCCCTTCCCCGCAGCGGTGGGTGCAGAGGGTCCCCAAAAACGCAGGGCTGGGTCTCACCAGCAGCACCCCGGCTTGGGATGCGGGCTGTCGGTAATCCTGGTTTTCATTATTTTAATGGTAAGATAAAACTTTTGTGTAGTGTGAAAAACAATCCTAAGCCTCCCTGTGTTTATAGGAAGGGCTCAGACAGGCTGAAAAAACGGTGTGCAAGAGCCGGAGACCACAGGACCGCAACCAGGGTGAAAGGACATTGGTCATAAATGGTCTGGGGATATTTTTTAACTGAAAATAAAATTCTAGTGGCAGGAAAGTGCAACAGTGACATTGGTGAGTAATTCAGGATGAATGCAGAGACCAGCAATCACAGGCAGCAACCAAAAAGGTGGAGAGTGGCAAAATCCTCTAACCCTGCCGACGGATTTCCAGTTTCCAGCTGGTAAACGGCAAAGCGCTCTCAAGTTTTTCAGATTCCTTAAAATATTGTGGCCTTGTGTGATCACCAGAAACATTGCTGCTTTGGAAGAAGCCTCTCTGCCTTTAATTTTGGTGCAGAATTCATTTTGGAGGTACGAGCCCAGGGGCTGCAGAGGGCTGCGGGTGGCATTTTGGGTGCAAAAAGCCTCACTGCTGGGACCAGGAGGGGACAGGCTGTGGTAATGGCACCCGGGGGCTTACGGCACGTGGGCAGAGCAACCTGTAAAATATGTAAAATAACATGCAGGGAGGAGGGAGGCTTGCTGGGAGACAGGCAGCAGCTGGGGGTGCTGGAGAAGTTGTCTGGGGGCAGCTTCCCACCTCTGCTTCCTCGCTGCGGGGCAGGGCTCTGCTGTCGGGGGGGATTTGGTTTGGTTTTTTTTTTTTCCTATGAAAGCCTTTGCTTTGACTTTCCATGGGGGACCCGTCTTTGGACAATTCTGTGCATTTCCCACCTTCAGCTTCACCTTACGCCCCAATAAAGCTTTTTCCTGCTGCTTAATTTTCCCCATACCTCTGTGTCCCTCTGAATGGGCTGACTTGGACCAAGAACTGCTGAAACACTCTGAGAAATGCTCCGAATACGTCGGGATGTTGCTCAACTGCTTTGGCCAGGCTGGGCAGTGTGAAGCAGCCCTCTGGCCAGTGTCTTTGATTTTGGGAGGTGCCAGCAGCTTTTTTGGTGCCCGACACACAGCGTGATGCTGCCCCTCGGCTTTGTCCTGGGGAGACTCAGAGAGCAACCAAATATGAAATGGGGGGTTCTCAGCAAAGAGACCCCCACGTGTTAATGAGGGAAATTAATGTACTTTGTGAGCTGGTTTCTCTTGTGCTTTGGGCTGGTGTAAATTAGGACCAGGCCAAAGAAGTCAGGAGGGCTGCACCAGTGTAAACCGGACTTCATAAAATAAAAAGGAGAGGCCCCTTTTGCCAGGCAATGGCTTTTCCTCAGAAGCTAAATGATACATAATGTTTATATAGTGTTTTGCCTCTCCTAAATGCAGGCTAGACATTAATTGATTCCAGGTTTGCTCTGTGAAGTAGGTCAGCTCTTTCCATTTTGCAGATAAAGGAGCGGTGGGGATCGCCGAGGGGTGCACGGGGGGTCAGCACCGGCACTGGGGCACCTATACGGATCGCCGCCCTCGCCGTTGGACCACTCTGCCTCCCTAAATATACACCACTTCTGATGTATGTCGAAATCAGCTGTGACTCTGTAAACCCAGTTACATTAAGCCCAGTTCAAATGAAATCTGTTTATGTCTCCAACACCCGTTGCTGGTCAAAGCAGGACTTAACTAACCTAACGCTGTTTGTGTTAAACCTCTGCTCTGACCATCTTGAAGTGAAATATAAAGCACTCGCTGGGACCTGGCCGGAGTCCAGGGAACCGTTTCAGACTCCCCCCTCTCTCTTTTGCTCGTGGGGCTGTTTAGAAAAAGCATCGCACATTTTAAACAGCGATGGAAAAAAAATTATTTTAATTCACTTCAGTTTACATAGCATTGGAAGCTTGTGGGGGTTTGTAGAGACCATTATTAATGGTTTAAACTGGCGTGGTAAAAATGTTGCCTTGGTCTGGGAACATGAGCTGGCTCTTGAGCCCCTGGCGCTGGTTTAGCCAAGCACTGGCCCCGCGGACTGTGCCGGGAGAGCAGGGGAGGGAGGACCTAATGGCTTGGTGGGTCCCACCGTTGTGGTTCATTTTGGCATCTTGGAAACAGCCTCCTGTCCATTCTGCTGATGTTGAACTATTAAAACCCAAAGCCTGGATCTGGGGAAACACCTGGCTCTTGCTGGTTTCCTTCATTTCTGGATGCCCAGCTTGGAGGTGTTGAGTGGCCAGACCATAGGGAAGTGGGGCGTACCCACGCCCGGAGCACCGCTCCTTCACTGCTGTCTCAAAGCTGACCTGCAAAGCCTCCATCTAGCTTAATTTCGTAAATTTGGTCCAGCTTTTTGGGAGCATGGCCCTTTATTTTTGCTTTGGACATTGTGTGAATCAGAGTGTGCTCCTCCAAAGCAGGTGGAGTCATGCCCGAATGAGCACCGGGTGGATGTGAGAGGGGAATTGGGTCCCATGTAAAGTGCCCCGATCTCCTTCTGACCAGCGGAGGAGGCGGGGATGAGCAGGCACAGGCACACCTGCGGCACGAGCCCGGCCCGCGTGTTACACGCATCCTTGCACACTTCCATCAGAAGACTCGGACACGGTTTTACTGGTCTATCGCACAGCAGGATCTTGCACCTATAAAACTACTCTTAATTACTTCCTAAGTTACTCAGCAGGATGATGTTGATTTTGTCTTATAACTCAATAGGACTTTGTCTATTTAGTATAAACCCCTGCCCACAATAACTTTCTTGTCTATGTATATTGGTGTATGATCATACACTGCATGCGTCTGTGGCTGGTTTTTGGACACCCACTGACCTGCTCTCCGAAGCTGCCCGTGTCATTTTTGCTTTCCAGCCTGTGCCCACCACGCTGCAGCACTTCCACATGCAGAGCTGTGATGCTGCCGTGGGGCTCTAGCAGGTTGGCAAGCGCCTGCACGGGGGGTAACACAGCCCGGGGAGTGCCTGGGAGCCTGGTTTGGAGGGTGACAAGCTCCTGGTCCTCCCTCCCAGCGTGGCCAGCTCACACATGCACAGGGAGGAGGGATCGTCCCCTGTAGCCGTGGCACTGACTGCCTCTGGTCCGCTTTCACTCTGCTTTGCCAGCTGAGTTTGAAGCAATGGCTGTAGTAGCAAAGAAAATAGTAGGGAAAATGACAGTTGGGAACTAAGCCCATGCCAGCATCGGATCCTGCAACATCTAGACTCTGCTTTGAAGCTCTCCACTCAAAGTACTACCCGTGATCCCTGGGGATTACCCTGCACTGTGGTACTCATCCGAGTGCCAATATTACAAAATGCATAAGCATGCAATTTACCTGCCTACTTTGCAAGTCAGCCTTGCACAACAGTTTATGGGGGCGCTTAAAGGCATGTTGGTGTTAGAGGCTGGATCACTGTTGTTACAGCCACTCTGGCTCTAGCTGAAACGAGTGTAGGACTAACCTTCACCTGTAGGTTAACTGACCTCATTAACCGACTCCGACGTATTCTAAAACCAAATCTGCAATGTGTGAAACGCTGTACTTAAAAGAGAAAAATTCATTCATGACGATGAAGAAGTTTGGAGAGTTTTGCATACAGACCAGAGACTGGTCTTTTCTAGAGGCGTCCCTTGACGTGTCATGACATATATTTCCCCAAGGCTGCAGACCCTGAACAACGTAGTTATATGACAGTGAGACACAGATAGAGAAGGGGCTTCCCTCTGCAATCATTGGGTTGCAGTGCGGTTTTTGCCTGTGTTGAGAGAAGGGCGTTGGACGAAAGATCTGTGAGTAACACACGGGCTGAGGAATGCTTCGTGTGCTTAGTCATCACCTGTGTGAATCAGGCAGGGAGAACAGCCTTTATTCTGCGAGATGACACCATCCCAGAGGGATTTTCCTTGAAAAAGGCTCAACATTTGTTCCAAAAATGTACAACGGTGTGGAGTCCAGCCTCGTCTTGCATAAGAGGTAATTTTCAGATGGATGTTGTATCTGGTACGAGTCTCATAGGTAGCATCATGCTCTGACACATAAAAGTCATGAGACCCAGAGTCATCCCCACTGCCTGTCCCAGCAGCAAGGAATATTGTAGGGGAGGGTCTGAACTCAGTGGGAACTTCCCGAGTTCAAGGAGTGGAGAGTCCAGTTAGAAAGAGATTAAGAAAAGGCTTGCAAATGGGCTTTCTGTCACGATAGGGATAATTACCTGAATCCTTCAGTTCATGCTTCTCTTGCATGCCCGTGCACCAGGGCTAATTCCAATTGATGAAGTTATTCTGGACTGATGCTGGTGCGGGAAGGGGATCGCTCCCAGAGTTTTCAAATCTGACATTAATACTCACAGACGTGAGACAGGACATGGGAAAAATGCAACTGGGAACAACCGCGATAGGAAGCAACACAAAATCTCAAACCAGCACAGAAGCTGGCTGTAGAAACATCCAAGCGATTGCAAAGGATGTTTCATTGCTTATCATCCTCGGCATGGGGTATGTGCCAGGGGCCTTGTTTTCTATCCAGGTTTCCATTTTGCATCAAAATTGGGCACTTCTGAAGAGTTGCCCATGCAGTTTGGCTGTCCTGGTTAGCTGCCGGTCCACATGGCATGCTCTCCTCTGAGGTATTCTCCTGCCAGGCTGCGCCCATGCCTGGTGCCTGCCTCACCACGGGGTTACTGCCTGCGGGTGCAGATCGGCGATCCAGATGGAGACCTTCGGGAGTCAGGTCCCCGGCCTCTGGGCTTAGATGCTGCAAAGAAGAAAATGGTAAAACAAAACATTTGGAAATCTGTTTCTTATTTACTATACTGCCAAGCTGCTGTAAGACTTGCTGGAATCACAATCCCAGAAAAACAGAGTGGAAAGGATTTTCCTACTGATATTGTTGGCGGTGGGAGAGACCTGGCCGCCTGCTGCGGGCTGGGACAGGTGGGGACGGGGACAGGCTTTCTGCTTGCTTGTGAGGGTGAGGAAAACATTTGCGAATGTTCTTTGTTTCGTCTCAACCCTTTCCAGGAGGGAAGTTTATTAAATATTGTGAAGAACTGAAGGCAGACTTGGAGAAGGGATACTTGGAGAGACACTTCACAGGTTAGTTTTTGGTGGTGATGAAGGGTAAACATGATGTCAGATCATGGCAGCAGGAGAAAAAGCGTCAGATGCTCAGGCCAAAGTGGGATTTTGCTGGATGTTTCCATGCTCATGGCATCATCTGAAAGGATCTCCCAGCACTAGCTAACCATGAGACACCGGGGGAGATGCCAAGGCAGTCTCTGCTCTGCAGGCTGTGGAACAGAAGATGTTTTGTGGGAGGGAGGGAGGGAGGGAGGGAGAGAGATCTTCTCAACACAGCAAGGTCTTGCATCTGCCATTTCCACCTACAAGCACCTGCATCTCTCCTGGGAATGCCGCACATCACCCCCCAGCTGCTCGTGCACACTGCAACCAGGGTAAGCTGGGCAGGGAAAGTTTCCCAGGGGCTTTTGGGCCGTGACGCCAGGAGTCATAATTGCCTTGGCAGAGGCGGCCACAGTTGTTCGAACCTGCCCTCTCGCCCATGAGTCAGAGTGGAAGTGCTGGAGTCATGGGATGGCTCAGAGCAAAGATGCAAAGCTAGGAGTTGCTTTCAAAGCTTTTTATTTCCTTGAGGGCAAGTCTGAAAAACATTAGCAAGGGAGCGAGAGAGACTCCAGCAGCCTCAGATCCTGCCTGCAACCCACAAAGGCAGCGCCAGCCTCTGCCAGCTGGGACGGCAGGCAGCACCAGGAGCCCCTGCTGCCTGCAGGGGATGGGACTGTCTCTGGGGCCCCCAGCGATGGCAATGCCATGGCAGGGAAAGCAGCCATGCAGTTTGTGGGGCGCCCGTGAGTGAAGTGGGTGAGCCCTGGCACCGGCGACGTGTCCCGTGAGCCATTCGGGGCACGTCTTGCAGAGGCGGCGTTCGCCTGGCAGCCACCATCCTGCTCGGAGCACAGGGGGACACGGCCAGTCCCAGCTGTGGGACAGAGCCCCGGCTCATGCGGGAAGGTCTTGGGGAGCGCTGAGCCCCCATGTGTGGGACTACATATGTGAGTGTGTCCTATTTAGGTCAGAAAGCATCAGGAGATGGCTCAGCAGGGTTTCCTGAGGACAACTGGCTTTGGGCATCTCGGAGGCTCTTCTGTAGTGAAAGCATTTTTGCTCTTGGGGGTTTGCCAGTCCCCCTCTGGTCTATGCAACGGAGCAAAGAGCAGAGCTGAGGGGGGATAAAACCTCAACATCACCAGCCCGGGGAGAAGGCATGGGAGCTGCTTGCTCTCCCAGCATCATGTCCTTGCCTGTGACACCCAGCTCTATCTGAGCACGAGGAGAGAGGCAGCAGGAAGGGCTGGGGGCCCAAGGGAGCGTGGGATGGGTGCTGATGGAGCCGGTGCTTTGCAAAGCCTCTGTGGGGAGGACTTGGCATGTGAACCGCTGCCAGCACATGGAAATCGTGATGGGTTATGGTCAACCTGGCTCCACGGGATGGCTGAAGTGGTCAGAACCTGGTGGTGGCAGGGATGTCCTGAGGTGGGTATCGGACCAGTCTGGAGGCAGGTGGGAATGGCAACCCCAGTACCAAGCTCTCCCCAACCTTGGGGAGGTCCTGTCACCTCCAGACTCCAAGTTCATGGCTCGGAGCCATCTCTCGTTTAGTCCCAGCAAATTACCAAGCCCCAGGAAGCCTATCTTACTGAGGCTTTTGTAGAAGTCAAGAGCTCAAATTGAGCAGGAGCTTGGGGAAACCGTTTCCCTTGTTAAAATAAATGTATTAGTTTAATACGTACCAGGAGAGGATAGGGAGTTCTCCTTGTTAAATATTTACCAGTCAAACCCTGCTGAGGACTTACTTGGAGCAATTCAGCTTTAGTGATTTCCTTCTATTGTGGTCTAAGTCTCCAGCATCGCTGGGAAACCGCCCAGCAGGGCCAGGAGGGCTGGCGGCAGACCTGAGCCCCGAAAATAAATGTATTAGTTTAATACGTACCAGGAGAGGATAGGGAGTTCTCCTTGTTAAATATTTACCAGTCAAACCCTGCTGAGGACTTACTTGGAGCAATTCAGCTTTAGTGATTTCCTTCTATTGTGGTCTAAGTCTCCAGCATCGCTGGGAAACCGCCCAGCAGGGCCAGGAGGGCTGGCGGCAGACCTGAGCCCCGGGCAGTGAAACCGCAGCCAGGATGGCCGCCCGCCGCCCCTGGGCCACCGCGGGCCTCAGC